GTAAACAAACAGTATGAATCTTAAATTTATTTTTCCCCTTTTTTAGATGTCATAAATATTATATTTAATTATAAATTTAATTTAATTGAATTAATTTTTTTTCCTTCTTTTATAAATTAATTTCTCTAAAAATTAATTAATAAAAACGATTTACTACTATAAAAATTTTTAACTAGCTTGTAAAAAAGATCTTTCATTTATAATGTATAATATTACAGACTAATTAAATTAATATGTTGTCTTATTTTGTAAGGTTTATAAAATTTAAGTAGAACAAAAAAATTAATTATATTATATAAACTTCTTGTTATAATGTGGCCACTTTAGGAAGGGTTTTTATATTACATTTTACTTACTAAGAAAATAAAACTCAACATTATTTATATAATATATTAAGATATAAAAAAAAATCATTAATTTTAATTGTTATCCTTATCTTACACTTTATATTAGACTTGTATATACTCTCTTTCTCTCACTTTTTCTTTACTAAAAATTTAACGCTTGCTTTAATAGATAGTAAGTAGAACATAAATATTAATTATGGATGGTATGATGCTTTTTATATTATATATAAAGAATGATAGTAATAAAGGTTATTAATGGAATATATAATACAATATTAACAAAAAAAATTATATATATATATGATAATTTGTATTAGTACTTAGAGTTTTATAAAAATCCTCATTTCTACGTAAAATTTATCTCAAAACCTACGTGTAATCTTGAAATGACTGATTTAATACTCATTGTAACCAATACAAGGTTGTAGCATAGGGGGAGAAAGGCATTTAGACTGAAGTGGTGTTGTTAAATGGCCCCGGGGCCGATTTTTAAAAACGACCCGGCAAATCTTTCTGCTACCTATTATCAAAATCGATAGGCTTTGGTTAATAATCAGCCCATTTTTTAAAATCTAGACAAAGTTAAGGGTGTTAGTTTAGGTCCTAAGAAAAATGGCGATCCCAACTAATAATAACTAAAATTGTTCAATATCGCCGTTTTACAAAAAATAATAAATAATGCCAATGTGATACACTAAATTCATAAAATTATACTTATCATGTATAAAAATTATTTTATTTAAATTGGAAGGACATTCACGGCTCGACCCACCTCTAGTGGGTATCATCTTGTTTAGGCTAGCTCAGCTACAGAAAATACACGCTCAATGGGAGTGTTTGGACACAATATTTCTTGGGTAAAACGGGAAGCTTCAATCTTCTCAAAAGGATAAAACATTATCCATTTGGTGAAGATAAAGAAGAAAATGATAAATAACATTCTTGTTTCAAATCATTCATGATATGGTTTTGCGGGGAACAATTAGATGATTGTTTATTCGCTAATTTTTTAATGTAATATTATTCACAATAAACATCCTTTATTACATATTCTACTATTTGGGCCATTCCAAGGCAATAATGCGGAATTGCATAAAATTGAACGAGTAAAAGATATTTCTTTGATAAGTGTTCACTATATTCATATTTTGAAATCTGGGAAAAATGCGATAACAAGAAATATTTATACAAAAATAGTTAACCTGAAGATCAGTGATTGGAAATCTATGATCCAATTTATTGAATATATTTTATTTAAGGAATGCCAATATTATCATTCTCATTAACGATTAAATAATTGGCTATTACCGTTAAGGTCTTATTTCTCTTAATATAATATTGATTTTGCTAGAACCACACTTTTGAGCATTTTCAAAATGCAATGCCATCATATAGATATAATTAATTTTCAAGGTTTATGAAGGTATTTGTCAATATTAATAATATAAGAATGATAGCATAAATGCTTTATGCTGGGCCGCCGATATCTTTTCCATCGGCGGCATGGCAGACTAAAATAACCCAGTGACGCGACAGCGATAGAAAAATGTAGAAACATTTTATTATTCGTATAAGCGTTATTTTTTATAGCAATGGGATGATTCCAAAGTAATATCGAAACAACTATTTTTGAGTTGCTCTTTATGCCACTTAAATAATCTGGAGGGGTGGGATCTTAAATCTTAATTAAAAAATTCGATTTATATAATTTAAATATAACTTTTTTTTTTTTGATATATAAAAAATATTGTTAACTAACGATTCTTAAAATTTTATATAATTAATAATTACTTTTTGTTTATTATTTTTTTTATTTTGGCATTCAAACATTATTTTTCCAAAAACTATAATATAAAATAATATTGATTGATTTTTTAATACACGCACACATATTTATAATTTTGATTAATTACCAAAAAAAATTGAGAATTTATGTATTTAATTTATTATTGCAAAAACCTATCTATTTTTGAGCAATAATTTTAATCGATAATAATAGTTAATTAGTTCTCCAAGGAAGATTAAAAAAGATATATTTGTATTAACATGTTAATTTTTAGTAATAAGTGAAGATATTTTGTTAAAATCACTTAAATATAAAATTACGTAGCATCTGTTTAGGAGCTCAATTAACTAATGTTTTTTTTGGGGGAAATGTTAAAATTTCATGATTTTTTTGGAAAAAATAATTTAATAACATTTGCGCTTCAAAATAAAATGACAAAGAAAAGAATTTTTGTCATTCTTTTTAAAAATGTCGAGAGTTTTATTTAAGATCTTCAAAAATAAATCGAATAATGAATTATTCATATTCAATTCTAAACGAATGAATAATTTACTAATTGTAATTACATCAATCAAGTAAAAATTATTTAAAGAATATTACGAATAATTCATTATTATTATTCTAATATCAATCAAATATATTTAAAGAATAACGAATTATTAATTACAGAGTTGTTAAGGAGCGGCGCTCCTTTTTTAAAAAACACCTCTTTTTTTTTAATTGAGGAGCGGCTCCTTTTAGGGCTGGAATGGAGGAGCGCCGCTCCACCGCTCCTTTAAATTTAATGTATAAATTAAATTATTTTATAAATATTAGTAATAATTATTAATTAAAATTCAATAAAAATGAAATTTTATTTAAATTTATCCATTATTAAATGTTTGGCCGAGTTTTATATTATCATTTTAAATATTAAACATCTAGTTTTTCCTTTTTATATTGAAAATTTTTTGGAAAATCTTGTAAGTCATATTAATATTCATTTTATAGATATATAACAAAAAATAATTTTAGATATTATGGATTTAGAGATCATAGATGAAGAAATCGAATTTCCATTTCCATCATACCAAAAATATTTTAAACTTCTAAAAGATGTTGATCCAAATGATCAAACAAAATTTAAGGGCAAAATGCCTTTTGGGTTTAAATAAAACTATTTAATTTTCAAAAGTGTGCAGCCTCAATCTAAAAAAGCATCTAAAAGTAAAAAATCCTTCTTTTAAATACAAAATGATCTGGAAGATTTTTTTTTGGTTCCATGAAGATCATCAGGAAGATAATATATTAGACAAATATTTTTTAAATAATGATACCAAAATTACTATTTGAATAATTCCCTGAATTAAAAAATATCTTTATAAAATACAATACCCCGCTTCCCTCTAGTCCTCCTGTAGAGCGCCTATTTAGTATTGCAAAAGAGGTCTTAGGGTCTTAGGGGAGAGGCGTGGATGTTTGTTAGATTCTAATTTAGAAAATTTATTACTTTAAGGTTATAAATATTTTGATAGATCATTTAATATAAATATGGCTTTGATAAAAAAATATGATTTTGTTTCGTATACATTCTAAAAAAAATGAAAATCAAAGGAGTGGTTATTGAGTGCCATTCTATTACTTGGAGCGGGAGCTAGCTTCTTTTGAGAAGGTAGGAGCGGTAGCTACTTTTAAAAAGTAGCATTAACAACTCTAATTCATTATTATTCTAGATTGCATTATTTAAAGGCTGCAAATGAACCAAATAAAAATCCTTCCAAATCTGAGATTTCCGTCAAGTTCCCCCCTCCCCAACAGGATTTCGATGTCTTGGCTCATAACGAGCTAAACAAAATTGTTTATTTTGAACAATTTTTTATAGTTCTAAAAATGAAATAAAAAATTTATGTATTTTTGCTTAAATATTTCAAAGATGACGACATCATTATCTTAACCTATTTAGTTCAATATCTTCCTGCCAATTAAGAATTCTTATCAATTTTTCTATTAAAAGGATTGATTTCACTGTTTAATTAGAAGTTCTTGATTTTTTTAAAATAATTAGGGATATCGATTCTTTTTTTCGATAATCCATACGTTTTTAAAAGAATATTATGCTATATTTTATTTCCTTATAGACATATTTTCCTTGTAGGTTTCAAAATGCAATTTTTCTGGTTTGAACAAAAAAAAATTTCACTCCCCTTCTCATGCAATGCAGAACTTAAACCATCTACATTAACAAATTCTCCAAAAATTGCTCTCAGGAAAAAAACTTTAGAAATTTTTTTATAAAACTTTTTTTTCTTTAATTTTTCGTTTTATTGAGATGTGTATTGGTTTTATAATTTTTTTGATTTTTTCTAAACCTTTTCATTAGCAAAAAATTCTGTTTTTTATTGCAGATTAAAATACAAATATGTTAATTTTATTTTTATAATATAATTTTTTCGGCATTCACATTTAAGCAATAAAAATTTATTTTATAGTTATAGGTTTATTAAATTATATTTCAATATGGTCGGCTTTGTAATTTTTATTTTATTATTTATCTTTTGTGGCTACTAGGCTTCGAACGGATAATAAATTATTCTCAAATTTTCATTTTGGCAATAAAAATTACATTTAAAATTTTTAATACCATTTTTTATTTTTTTTTTACAATTTACTGAATATTTTGTATAAATATTATAATTTTAATGTATGCCTAAACTAATAATTGCCTTTATATATTTTAAATTATTAGGATAATTAGAGATAATTGCTATTAAGGATGGGGTAGTTTATAAAGTTGTTTATAAATACTTTTATATATCAATGAATACAATATAGTTTTTTCATAATGAAATTTATTTACAAAAAAATAAAAATAATTATGGATATCTTAGACGGAGATAGCTAAAAGGCTGAATTCAATATGCGCGCAAATAATACCCTTCTTATCTCAAGAGGTAAAATCTCACTTTAAATTGCATTGTTATTAAATATATTTATCTTATTTTTACTAACATATATGTATATGAAAGGCTTGTTTTATTTAACGCAATTTATATGAAATGAAGTACAATCCCTAAAAATGATTATAATGGTTTTAAAAAAAATTAATAGGCATTATATATAAAACAATGTAAATTTAAAAATTACAACAAAAATAGAAGTTATTTATGTGTTATTTCTTGAGAGGTCATAAATGTATTTTTCATAAATATGTGCACACTAGTCTTTTTTAACAAAAAGTTAGTGATTATAATTAAATTACTCCATTTTAATGGTCAATTTTTAGAACATCAAAATAACGCAATCTTTTGTCTGATTACACAAAATTTCTATATAATTCTCTTATTTTTAAAAAAAATAATAATCAGAAATATTGCCACCTGTTCAAATATTTAATGACTAATACCTGTTTTTTAGATCTAAAATTGTAATTTATTTTTAAAATGGCGTTTATAAGTCTTCTACTTCTTTCATAATTGAGTTCTTTTTCCACCCAAAACGAAGGTGTTTTTCATTTTTACAATATAATTTTTGATTCTTCCAAGTCTATTTTATGATACTTAAATTATTAATATATTTTTTTTTTAAAAATTGTGCATCATTAATAATTTATTAGATATTAAATAAATAATTAGGGTATATTATTTTCAATTTCAAATGATTACATTTTTTTTATTGATTTAAATTTTTAATTGTCTACATTTTATCTTGATTAATTAATATTTAATAAACGCTTCAAGACAATGAAAAAAAATATAAAATCCTTATATTAGTCATTATTTTCTTTTAAATCCAAATATATAATTTATATTTAAAAAAAACTAATTAATTAAATTCCTTAGTTTAGGAAAGGAAATTATAAATCATATTGAAAAACTGACGATGTTTTTACAATAGAATTTTTTTAAATAAAAAAATATCAAATTACTTATTCTTTTTTTTAAAAAAAAGATTAATTAAATGTGTTATATAATTTATTTTTTAAATGGCAATTGCTTTCTTTATCCCTAAAGGATATCATTTTTATAAAAAAAAATATATAGTTTAAGAGTAGAAATTATTTTTTTTATAAAGAAAAACTAAATTATATTTCAATAAAAATTTACTATCTGGTCCAGCGCCCTTATAAGATGAATACTGATATATGGTCAATTTACATAATAGAATATCGGGGACATTTCATTATTATTATACATATGATTATTTTCTAGAAAAGATGAATTAACAACAAACCCATAAATTAAAATCTATATCAGTAATGATAATAACACTATAAAAGAAATTAGATGGAAAAAGAATATAAATATTTATAAACCTATTTTTTTGATTTTTTTTTGGCAAGAAATAATTTAATTTTAATGCAAAAAAAATACTATTTTAAGTTATAAATAAATATAAAAAAGGAATTCTTATTTCTGAATAATTTATTAGTCATCTAAGCCTCTTCAAACTTCTTTTTTAATATCATTTTCTTCTCTTCTTTTTATAATAAATAAATAATAAAAATGAATTATATCTTCTTCGTGAACTAAGGAATATTTATCATTATTTGTCAAGATTCAATAATATATTTTATATAGACTTAGAATACTTAATTACTTTCCGTTTTTATTCTGAAAAAAAAGTATATAATATAATCTTTTAAAATATTAACTAACAGTATAAAAGTAATTTGAAGAAGATATGGCCATTTTTATTGATTTTCCCGCAGATTGCTCGAGTCAGAATTCCCTCAAAACGGGGACTACATTTTTAAATGATTATGATAATTTTTTTTTGGCCAACGACTAGGGACCCCTTTGATATCTAATAAAAATATAAAATGAGTACTGCTAATGTTTATTAACTTAAAGCCCCCTCCCCGAGATTTTAATTCCATACGACATTGATTCATACACTAGACACCGATTCAATATTGTCTATAAAAATGGGGAATATTTAGTTTTCTTCTTAAATTTACAAATTATGTTTTAGATAACATAATTCCTCTTTGCGGTATAATAAAAGTTTAACCCTGTATTCATAAGTTTAAGGTTAAATATTGCATGATGTGATATTGAATCAAATAAAATTCGATTGGTTCGAATCCAACAGAACTGTGTTTTTTCTAAAGGCAATTTGGTTGTCCCTTCCGGGGGGGGGGGTGATAGTTCAAATCTTATTATTTTTATCACTTCTAAACTTACCCCTCATTTGCAGTTATCGCGAATTCGCCGCCCTTACTGAATGCAAGGCTAGCCTGTTTTTTTTAAATTTTGTCCGACTCACGCTTTTTAAAATAATAATTGTAAATGAGAGCAGCTAATTAATTAAAGGTGAGCACAGACCGTGAAAATCCCCTTGGCAGTGTAAATAAATTTTAAATTTCGAACGGTGAATGGACGTGACGGGTATTTCCAAAATAAAAAGGCGTGATTAGAAATTTTGCGTGAATTATGTAAATCTTTAAAATCACTCCTTTCCTTACATATTTTAAAGAAACTAAGGAGTCTATATCATTTTAGATAAAAATTTTGATCTATAAACTCAATTATTGAATTCTTAATTAATGAAAAGGTGGCTAAAATTTTTTAAAATACATGAATGGGCCTAGATTTGTTTTAGTTAAGCATGAGTGGGCGGGTCTTTATTCTGGATTTAAAAAATCATGCCTCCAGAGGGGCCGGGTCCATCAGTCTCTTATCTAGGTTTATTACATTAATATAATTTAATTGGATAAATATGAAAATACCATATAGTAATACACAAATATTAGATAGATATAATATAGATTATTATTATTATAAAGTTTTTTTTTGACACTCTAAAATTTTTTTTTAATGATATTTAATAAATTTATTTTGGTATATATTTATTTTTTTCAAATTTGTTAAAGATACACATCTTTTATTCATTAAAATATGACAAAAATTCTTTCTTCTTTTTATTGTTATATGCTCAACTTAGCGTGTAATGCAAATAATTTCTGGTTTAAACAAACTTATTATTTTTATGATATATGTCAAAATTATGGAAAAATAAAGGATTACTTGCTACTACACAAATTCCTGAGTTTTTTTAATAAGTAGATTTTATTTTATTTAAGCCATTATAATCGTATTAAATTCAGATATCAATTAACTATTAATTATTATGCTTTGCTCATGACAGTTATTATTCTAAAGTATCTAACAGAACTGCCATACCTTAATATGCTGTCATAATTTTTCGAATCTGTTCAAAACTATTTTAAAATTTATTAGCATTCATTTATGCTGTTAAGTTGCCTAATTTCATATTCATTCTGTTATAAAATAACGAAATTCAACTTAATTCTTTAATCTTTAATAAATCATTTTGGGCCAATTAATTTAAAAAAATGTCGGAACGAACCGAAAAGAACCGCCAGCATTCTAAACCAAAACGAATCAAGATAAAACTGTTTAAAGAATCTGAATGGAACTAAAACTAAACTAAGAACTCCAATGGGACTTAACCATTACACATCACAGTTCGACTCTCTGTTCTGCACTGGTAAATAAAGTCTATAGCTGGGGAGTAACATGAATATTTGTAACCAAGGTATTTAAATATTTTAAAAAACCTGTTACAAGAAATTTTTTTATAAGACGTCAAATGTCGATATTTTATCAACTCCTGAACAAATATTTACAATTTTTATTTTTCTCACATTAGTAAGAAGAATTTCCAACTTTTATTCCTTCTTCATCTTCAATCATTCATTACACAATGACTTAAAATAATGACAAAACAAAATTTTCTCTTTGTGTTTTGTGTATGTATTACTTCACTCACATTTTTTACAAAATTTTATGATGCATATAATTGTTGCATATAAAAAATTATCATAAATAATAATCTATATAAAAATAAATTATTCATACATATTATACTTACATTTACATGTATAACATTAAATATGTATCAAATAGCATTTTATAAATTTATACAAAATAATAACTATTATAGAAAATTTATGCAAAATTACTCATCAAACTCATTACGTATTCATGATTATTACAATTATTTCACATTGTAAAAAAATATACATAATATTTTAATTTTATCCCCAACATTATAAAATAAAAACATCAATGTTACTTTATATTAATGTTTTTAATCACTTTTCTTTCCCTTTTCCTTTCAAACTTTTTTTTCTTCTATTCTTTATTTTTACTAACTTATTTTAAACATTGTATAATGCATTTTATTATTTATATTGAAATGTTGGTAAAGCATCTTCATTTTAATATTCATAATTATATATTCACAAAAATAATTCATGATCCATTTTTTTTATATAAATTATAAATGAGCAATTGAAAATTATTATAATATGTAAATATTGTGTTTTGGAATTAATTATAAATTTTAAATATTTAAATGTAATGTTTGATTGTATCTCATTAATATAAATATAAATTTTTTTTACATATTAATAAGGGGAGTTAAATTAGAAATTTGATAGGAATTTTTTTTTAAAAAAAGAATAAACTTTTTATGACTTAAAAATATCAAAAAAATATATTTTATTACTTACTTTATCATAAATATGCTAATTTTATATTTATATGATTTCATTTTACTTTTAAAAGTTAAATATAAATAATTTATTCATTAGTTGAAAGATGAAATTTTTTAATATACATTATATTATATTCTAACATTTAAAAACATTTTAAGGCATTATATGAGTTGCAGACTAAAAGAAAACCAATTATAACTTTTTATAGGTGGTTTTGGTTGGCCTTTTTTGTCATTTTTTAAAATAGTTTAGGCCCACTCCTTGAAGGCTTTTGACAGTATTATATTTTAAAAAAATTTTTTTACACTCAATTTTTTTTATTATAGACATTATTTTTAAATTAACAATATTCAATGTTGGGGAGTGGGGGTGTAATGGGAATTTTTTTGGTTTAAAATAATATATGGAAACTGCTAAAAGAGGAGATTCCATCCCATTATTGGTTGCGCTTAGTGTTGTCAAACAGCTCGATTTGAGCCGATTTTTAAAAACAGCTAACTCAATATTTTAGTCTGAAAAATATTGTTCAAACCTAAAGATTTCGCTAATAGATGTCCACCTATGAGCAAAATTTTCAGACTTGCGTAATATATTTCTGGCGAATATATTGCGTTTTTAACAGTAGGCTCAAATCTAGCTGTTTAACGAGACTAGTTGCGATAATGGAGCAACACATTTTTTTCATGGGTTTTATTATTTTATGGCTAGAAACATAAAGTGGTTAATTCTATAAACACAATTTTAAAACCTGTATTTTTTATTATATATGATGTATTTTATTCATGTAGATGATTTGTTATGTAATCTTAAAGACATTTTTATACGAATTTTCTTTTTTTATCGATTAGTGGGAATTTATCAGGTTTACCCGAGTCGGTCGACTAATGATATAATTATAAATGTTTTATATTCATTCATATCTTTATTTTATAAAAATTAACACAATTTAAATAAAATAAAAAACTTTATCAATAAAATTGAGAAATCACCTAAACATAAATCAGGTTCATGTTAATAATTAATAACTATTCTTTTATTCATTAGTTTAATTATAAAATGACTTATATAAATAATTTATACCCAAAAATAGTGTATACACTCTATTACAATATACGCCAAACGAAAAAATATTATTTATTAATATTATACGACTAAGAATTTTTAAATGAGTGTTGAATGGCCCGATTTATACTATTTTAAATTTAGATCTTAGCCAATATTACTCAAGCCTCGAGATTTCATTAACAGATGTCCAAACCTTTCTGTCATCTGTGAGCAAAATCTTTAGTCGTTTTTGAAAATCGAGCCATTTAACAAAACTACTAAATAATAATAAAAATTAATAGACGAATAATATGTCCACCCCTGCCCGTGTCTAGGCCTACGGTATTATATTTTATATTCATACCCATACTTTATCTTAAATTCAAATATTGATTTTATCTTATTTTTTTATCAAATGCTTTAAGCCCGAAAGTCGATAGTGATATAAAATATCAATTTGTTTTTTTTACCCCACCTTGTTTGTTTAATATGGTATGAATTTAATTAATTTACTACTAGGCTTTGTAGTGTAGTATAACTATGTTGCCAATTGCAATATTACCGGAAATTTTCCTTTTGAAAGATTTTTAGAAAAATGTAATATACTATCCCCCCACCCCCAATTTTTCTTAAAACATAATTCAATTAAAATATTTATTGTATAGTAATATAAAATACAAATCAATAGAAAATAAGGTTGAATTATTAAAGGTTATAAACCAGAGGTCGGCACACCGGGAAAAGGAATATAGGGTCGGGTTGTAAAGTTCAAAACATTTTTACGGGCCAATGCTGGATAAGATATCAAAATTTATAGTAAATGATTAGGAAAAAATTTAATAGTAAGACTCATCGGTCACCACAGCATCAAAAAATGATGTGTATACCTTGACAACCATTTTGATTATCTCATTAAGTTTTTGTGATATATTTTTGATCTAATTATACATTACATGGTATATTTTATAATTGCATATTTATACACAAATTTAAAAGCATCAACAACAGGTGGCATCGGCTGTCGAAAGGGCTAAACAAGTCACCATGTCGGAGCTAAATGTGATAATAGGGGTATATTTCGAAATTCGTGATTTATATATTATATTAAATGTTTAGGCTAAATTATAATATTAAAGATGTGACCTGTTCTGCTTATAAAATTCCCGTTTGTAATGTTTTTTTGACTCCATTAAAAAATATATTTTAAAGCTGTTAACATTTTATTCCATGAGAAATGTTATAAAACAAACTATTGAGTGAATTTTTTTTAGATATCCTTTGAAAATAGGAGTAGTATTTATGCACACGCATTGTGAAAAATAGAATGTAATTAAAGTAAATTTTTAAAATAATTTTTTTAGTAAATAAAATTAAAACTATTCCCTTCTAGTTTTATTCAAATGACGATAGCGTCGTCACAACTACCGACCCCCCCCCCCCCTTCAATTTCAAAGACTATCTTGTGTTAACCCCCACCTTGGAATTGAAATACATTTGATTAATTTTTTTGAAGAAAAGCATAATATTTTGTAAATAATTTAAGCTTAAAAAAATATGTTTAATCTTGTGGCATTAAGAAAATAATAATTAAATCGTTAAATATTTCACAATGCTTGTTTGTTTAATTTATACCTTTTGATTTCTTATAAATTATTTGAAATAAAAGATCAATAAAAACATATTGAATTTTTATAGCACAATAAAAGGCACCCAATAATATAAAAATAGGGCTATAGTGTCGTCATGTATATTTGGTAAAGTAGTTTGTAAATTTTACTCAAATCTAACTTTCATAGTTCTAGCTCACCTATACTCGGAGTTATGGACCTTATATCATTTTAAGCTATAAAAAATTTTCCCTACCACTTCACCCCCTCTCTCTCAAAACTCTCTAAAGTAATTAGTAAAAGTTAATTACTTTAAGATAACGACTATAATTTAAACTTTTTAGAAATAAAGCATTTTTATTTTTTAAAAAGTGAAAACCCAAAATGAATTTTTGTAAAAATCGAATATAGCCAAAGGTCTACATAAAGACGTATAAATTGATGGAGAAATTCATAATGCTGCCCGTCCCACCTCATAGGAAAATCATGGATATATACCTATGTCAAGGTCGATCTTAATTAAATCAAAAAAAATTTGTTGAAAAAGTTACGAATAATGTATCATTTTGTTGTCTATAAAATTCTCCTTCGGAAAATACAATTTAGAAAATTAATCTATTTTCAATGCTGAAGTATTTCAGCGAAATGCGAATTTATTTTATTGATCATGCGAAAACGCACTCAAGCCTGTTTATTACCTTTATAACCAAATATTTATGCGGAAAAAAATTGTAAAAGATGCGTTTTAAATTTTATTGAGCTTTTTCACATTTTTAAAAACAACATTAATATAAATTAAAAATATTAAGGGCCCCTGTTTATTTTAGTGTTACTTTTCAGAAACCTAAAAGTAAACCTTATTTTTAAGTTATATATACTTCATTTTGTGGATATAATGTTAAATTCTCAATTTGGGTAAATTATATGTTCACCTGGATCTGCCTTTACGGGTTCTGACCTGGGCTTTTTGATTTTTTTAAAGAATCGGAATGATTTAATTTGACTTTGGGTGACCAGATTCATTAACGCCTGTCTTAAATTTTTTTACTTCTGTAAGCAAGAATTTTGATAAAGTTTCAAGATGTATATTCACTAAACATGCGGATAGAATATTGGATTGTCACTAAACATTCGGATAGAATATTGGATTGTTCCATCTCCAGATAAGGTCATAAATTGGGATTTTAATTAAATATCCATAACTATTGTTCTTATTATACATAATTAAAATTTTTAAACCATTTATTCACTAAAGCAACAAATGCACGCCGTTGTAGCTCAACAACAGCAACCCTTGTTGTCTGCTAATGCGAACCTAAATAATCCCAACCCACTTAACCTGAACAACCCTAACCTCATTAATCCCGGCAATCACCCTGCCAACAACCTAGCAAACTTGGGCGCTCTAAATATGCCTTCCATGCACCCCCATAATATGGGTGGGTTACCTTTCCCCCCACCCCATCCAGGCCTCCTTATGCCTCCTCCTCCAGGCCTGCTCGCTGCTTTCGAAGAAAATGCTAAAAAACATCTCATGAGTAAAAAAAACATTTATTGTTTAATTTAGTTATTTCAGTCATTGCCATGATATATGACTTATTTTTATATAAACCTTTACATTTTTTATCAATATTGTGTAAATTTTTAGTTTAATACATTTTTGGCAAAAAGGTTCAAACAATGAGAGTTGTTTTCATTCTTAAATTTATAGTTTAGTTTTTTAAAAAATATTATATAATTTTATTTTTTTTAGTGAACGAAGATCGTCAAGTAACAAATAAAAACTTTATTTTGTTTTATATATAAACTTGACAAGAACCCATTTAGCAATTTTTTTATTTGCTTTTAATTAGCTTTTTTCTTAAAATTCAAAATCATTTATTTGTCACGTCAGACCAATATGTTCGAAAAGATATGAATAAGTTATTCGTCACCCTTATTAAAAAAACCTAGAATGTTGGTTAACTAAATTTCCGTTTTTATAAGAAATAGGTCAACTAACCATTTAAAATATAAATATTGCATAGAGAAACGACGATTCTCCTCAGCCACCCTCCAATCATTTTCTCCCGTCCTCCTTATCCATCCCTAATGGGCCCACTAATTCTGGCAACCCGATTACTAATAAAATCGGTGGTGGCGATAATGCCACTTCGCATTCACACACGAACAGTAATCCTCTCTCAAAACGTAATAGTACTCCCTCTCTATCATCTTCATCATATAACCTAATTCAAAATAACGGCTCTAATTCAAATTCCGAAAATCACAATGTAAAGAGCCTGCCTGCTCCTCACCCTTCCCTTCTTATTCCTCCTATGATACCACCCCATTTGCTAGCAGGAACGGGTTCTTTTCACCCTTTACATGGGGTTCATCCTGGAGCCTACCCTCCTATTCCTCCTCCTCCTCCCTCACTTCTTCATACACACCACCCTACTCATCCTCATCACCCTCATATGTTGAATCATCACCATGTTCAACTTGGACATAGTTCTCAAAATATCGGTCAAAACATACAAAATCACAATGTATTGTTACATGGTAATAATTCGTCATATGGACGCTCTTCGCCTGTGCAACATGCTGCACCCAACAATAATACTGGATCTGGACCAACCAAGAAGAGAAAAGATAAACACGGTAATGTATTTGAGTAATTAGTTGTATTATTTAAGAATTTTTTGTTAATGGATTTTTATTTTTCTAAAATTTTATTATAGTTCTTAACTCGACCAAAGATTCAGCTTCTCATAATTCTAACACAGCTCAGTGTAATAATAATAGCCGGGCATCTTCTTGTACCCCCCTGCAATCAAGGGAAAGGAGAGATAGCACACCTTCATCTTTCAATGCCCCTTCTTCCAAACGCAATGGAAACGGTTTTTAATATTCTCATAAATAACGTTATAAAATATCTCAATTGTAGGTTAATTATATTATAACTTTTAATTTTTTTAATATAAGGTTATACATATTCGGAAAATACTTTTATTCATTCAAAAATAGCTTTCGTTTGAAAATAAGAAGTATATAAATTACTCCCCCCCCCCCTTTGTTTGTTCAAATTTAAACTTGGACCTGAATAATTTCAATACAAAAATTATGCATTTTAAATGAGTCTGTTTCAGCGATGCGATATATTTACTACAGTTCAGTCTTTTTTTAACATATAGACATAGTAAGCAAATCCTCCCCAGCTTCGCACCAAATTTCTAGCGTCATTGACAATTCAAATATCAATGGGGCAGAAACTAATCTTACATCCACAACAGCTAAGGATGAATTTTATAACATTAATGAAGGCGATTTAGATAATATTAATAACAATAATAACTTTGATGAAGACACTTTGCCACGTATTAAATCGGTTATATATTTTTATAACCATGCATTCTAAAAATAAAATGTAGAAAACCTTTTTCCCCACTTTTTCTCTACTATTCAAAATTGGAAGACGTTTCTTATTAAAAATGGAAGTCTCGGTTAATTTGTTAAGATCACAGGTCGCTTTTATTTAAACCAAACCACGGTTACAAATATTTTAACCAATTCTTTTACATTAAGCTCTTGCCTAACACTTAGTCTTCACTACTTATAACGGTTTATTACTTATTCTCATTCATGAATACGATTATAAATGTATATTCGAATCAATTTTCTTAATAATGGCTAATCTTTGGAGATAATAACAACTGACTTCAAAAAAATATGATTCAGGAAGCCTCTGACATAGACGACAAGAGTGATCAGGAATTGGTAGTCGACGTTTCCAACGATATCGTAATTATTCGATAATATTATATTATATTTGATTGATGTTTAAGTATAACAAATTTCCTCCTTTTTCTTTTACCAAATATTTATTTATTTTTTAACATCGCGTTTTAAAATTAGTTATATGCACAGTAAATACCTAATCCAATTTAATGTTACCATTTTTGTGCAGATTTAATTTAAAACGATATTTTTAAATTTATTTATAGATAAAATTATTTAACTTGTAAAAATTGATAAGAATATATAAACATTTTATTTTAACAATTTTATATAGTGTTGTTAAACGCTCGTTTTGAGCCTATTTTTAAAAATGGCTAACTCAATATTTCATCCTGAAAAATATTACGCAAGCCTGAAGATTTTGCTCATAGAAAGAACAAAGGTCTAGACATATATTATCGAAATCTCGAGACTTGTTCACTATTTTTCTGGCTAAAATACTGGTTAGCCTTTTAAAAAATCGGCTCAAAATGAGCCGTTTAACCACTAATTTTATGTAAGTCAAATAATTTTATTTTCAAATAAATTAATATGAAAATGTTATGCACGACACTGTAATATCTCTTATTTTAAATGTTGATATTAAAAGGCATGTTATTAGGTAAAATTAGATGTAAATAGTCTCAGTACATTTACATACATATTTATAAATTTATAGGATAACGAAGACTCTATCAACGCTGCCATAACCTTGGCAAATCATTTATCTTGTCAAAATCAAAAAGAAGAGCCAATGAAACTCGATTCATTTACAACCTCCTCTCCAAAAATCGAAAATATTAGCAACGAACTAGCTCAAAATAAAGATGGTGAAGATAATTACGAAGGAAATTACAAAGGCATGATAAATGGGGATGAAAATATGGGAGCTTTCGCTAATAAACGTAAAATTAAATTATAGAATATTTTTACAATAAGCTATGATATCTGAAAAAAATATTATTGCTATTTATATGAACATTATTCAACACACTCGATTTTCCGTGACTTAATTGGGTCACTTGGATCATACTTAATTATATTAAACAGATACTAATATTTGGAAAAGTTTTGTAAATAAAAGACAGGAAATATAGTAAAGTCATAGGCCCAAAAGATATTCAAATTACATGAGTTAAAAGTTTTCCCAAAATATGGTTTATTATTAAACAACTCTTTACTCTAAAATACCTACATTTTTAATTTTAAATTTAAAAATAATTATATTAAGACAACAAACACTACCATAGCAGTTCGCATAAGAGATTTAGAAACTGTGAATCCGCTAATGAGTCATATAAAGATAAAGAAGCCCATTCTGGCAAGAAAAAGAGCAACAATATGACGGTAGGAGGATCATTCAAAACTTCGCCTTCTCTTAGCGAGGTTTATTTATTACGGGAAATATTTTTTAGGCGCAATATATTAAGGTTATTTTGTATATTTTATTTGCATATGAATCAAGTGTGCCATTAAAATCGCAGGGGGTACCATCTTAGTCAAGACACAATCAGTATCAGATCTTTTTCTATTTTACTTGTCTGAGGGGGAAGAACTTCGTTGAATATTTATATCCATTTAGGCGGTTTTTACTAACTAACCTTAAGTATATTACAATTTGAATTGGGCTTGTACCTAAATGTAAAAATTTTGTTCTGGATCAGGCCTAAAATATAGAAATAATCTTCGAGCTTGGGGTAAAAAAAGTTGGAAATACAGAATTTTCATAACGTTTCAAATTCAAACCACCAAATTTATCACAAAGCTTTTCTCCATTAACGACATGATTATCCAATATATCACTATTCATTTCTGGAGTTTTACTATCTCTAAAAAAAATTGGACAGATAAAATAAACATAAAAAGTATAACATTATTTTTATTTCTAAAAGGGCGGAGCACAGATACATCCTGATACAGAAGATAGCCACAACTACAACCTATCTTCTCCAGCTTCAAACAACGGAGCCAGAAAAGGCACTTCTATTCATCATACTAATCAAATCAAAAATAACAATATTGCTATTAACGGTAATTAATGCCTTCTATTTTATATAGAAATTTGCCTTTTATAGACTATAAGCTAAGTAACCACCTCAATTTAAGCAAACATTTAGTAAATATTTAATTTTATAATCACATTAAAAATAGCATTTTTTTACTCTAGGAATAAAAAGGGCATGTTACTAAGATGGCTAAAATAAGACAAACTACTCTGTAGATTTATTTAAATACTATAAATTGTCTCAGTGTTAACTTATATTAATGGTTAAAATTGAATAATAAACAAATATCTCTTTTTTAAATGTTAAAGGTAATAGTAATTCACCCTCCCATTCACCAAACGTTAATAACAATACAAATTCAGAAAATGGTGGTGGAGGACGAAGTAGTTCTTTGGGAAAAATAAAATCCTTTTCCGCCAATATTTCAGGTTTGATTTTTTTTCTTCTTATAAAAAATCAAAAGTTTGATTAATATATAAACTATTTTAACAATTATATATGTTAGCTCAATGTGTTTTTTCCAGTAATGTTTTATTTTTTCAACTTTAAATCATTTTTTGAGCGAGTCTTTAAAAATTTTAAAATCTGATTTTACCGGAAGTGTATTCCATTATGTTTGAAATACCTACTCTATGAATTTCAGACAAATTTTTCATAAACTTTTAAACTTAATATAATTTATATTAGAGATCTGCAAAGTTAGGCCCGGCCCGAATGGGCTTCTTGCCAGGCTTAATATTTTTTAAAAAATTTCGGGCCAGGTCGGGTCGGACCTTGGAAATTTTATTAAATATATCTAAATTTATCAATTTTATCAGAGACCTGCAGGCCCGGCCCTAAACCCGGGCAGGGCCGGGCCGTATTTTAAATTTTTTAAATATACCCGGGCCTGGCCTAAAAAATTTTTTTTTAAACATATCCGGGCCGGGCCTAAAAATTTTTTTTTAAATATATCCGGGCCAGGCCTAAGATTGTTAAACCCGGGCCGGGCCTTAATATTTTTTATAAAAATTTTTACATTATGAGTTAATAGTTTTAAGATTATATTATATTATAGTTATGATTAATATAATATTGGGTGATGGTTAACACTACCTAACAACCCACAGATCGATCTAATTATTAATTTCCTGCAAATTTATTCAAAGTATTAATATATTTTTTTTATAATTCATATCTAAATTTTTACAACATATTTTACCAAAACAATCAAATAAAGGAATTAAGCCCCAATATTCAAGTATTATTAATATATTTTTTTATAATTCATATCTAAAATTTTAGAATATGTTTTACCAAAACAATCAAATAAAGCAAAATCACTTCTTAAAGTTTGTAATACCTTTCAAAGCGAAAAGGAGAAATAAAATTGATTTTACTTAATATAAAGCATTTTTTAATTGAAAAATTTGTTTTACACAAGTATCATTTTATTTCTCTTTTTCTGTCCCAAATTCAAGCAATTACGTATGTAGTCAGGGACAGATCGCAAAATGACGGAAAACTATATAAAAGATTATATTAAATTACAAGAGGCTCAGGAAGTAAATGAAATACCATTGACCAGTCAAATTACGACTGTTGTTAAACAAACTGAATCGTTTTATGACAAATGGGGCGATGGTAATTATGGTAATATGTCAATACCCGATGATGAATATTATAATTACATGAATAATAGATAAAACATTTAAGGTGGATAATTTGTTAGAGTGGTGGGCGGCTCATCAAAGCGAATTTCCAATTTTAGCAAAATTGGCAATTCCTGCTTCAAGTGCAAGCTGTGAGCGGAATTTTTCCACTACGAGAATTCTTGAAGAAAGAAGAAGTAATCTTCAACCTGAAAAGGTAGATATGCTTCTCTTTCTTCATGATAATTTGTGAATTTTTAATATCTTTCTTGAGTATAGGGTTTCGTCAATCATGCTGGTTTTTTAGTTTGCAAACTGTCAAATATTTTTTGCATTTATTATATTTACCTTGAGTCATGAAAGTTTTTAATCCAACATTTTTCATTATTTTTTTTTACAATATTATATAATACAATTATTTTCTTTTGTTAAAAATTTATATTATAAAATAAATTATATTAATATTGTGCAATTAGATTATATTTTCAAAATACTATTTATTATACATGCTTTTTTTTAAATAGTGATTTATTTTTTTTTTATAAATTAAATAGTAAATTAAATACAATATATTATATTCTCAAAATATTTTCCATTTTTATAAATTAAATATTAGTATTATTATTTTTAAATGCAATATAAAATATAGTATATGCTCAAAATATTATTACCATTTTTATGAATATTAGTTTTATTTTTATAAATGCAATATAAAATATAGTATATGCTCAAAATATCCATTTTTATAAATAACAATTTTATAATTTTTATAAATTCAATATAATATTCTCAAAATATTAGCTTTTTACATGTATTTTTTAAATAATAAGCGATAATACTTGCTGAAAAATATGGTAAAATACCTCATAGGTGAATTTTTGTATATACCAGGTCGAATATAATTTTAAAAAATTCCGAGCTGAGCCTGAAATTTTTTTTTTAAAAAATATCCGGGCCGGGCCTTAAATTTTTAAATCCGGGCCGGGCCGTAAAAAAAATACCCGGGCCGGGCCTAAAAAATTTAAAACCGGGCCGGGCCGTGCAAATCGTACCTCTGCAGGTCTCTGAATTTTATATTGAATTTTTTATATAAAATAAAAATTTTTGATTTAATTTATTGAAACTAAACGCTATATAACATATGTCTTTTATTTTAAGTAATAATAAATATTAATTTCTATATTTAAATAAATTTGGGCTGGCAAAACTTTTTTAAAAAAAATTTCGGGCCGGGCCGGGCTTGAAAAATTAGGCCCGATGCAGATCACTAATTATATTCGATTTTACATAAATTTTTTATATAAATATAAATAACTCGGTTAACAGCAAAATTGTCTACAATTCATAAGATAGGACAAACTTGATAGAATATATTTCTGGTAAAATCCGATTTTTTATTAAAATGAGCTCAAATTAAAAAAAAATAACTCATTGACGCTAACATATACATTAGTAAAATAATTTTTATCCCTCATAAATAAAATAATCCTAGCCACTCCTTCACCTATTCCAAAAGCTCTCAGTAACAATCAATCAGCCATTGTTTCTCCACCTAATCACCCTTATCATCACGCATTGCATTCACACCCTTCCCATCCTCATAATATTCTTCCTCCTCCTTCGTCCCCTTATTTTTTCCAACCCTACCCTCCCCACCACCCCGATTTTCCTTCATTACTCCTTCATCATCAACAACACCAAAACAACTTGCAAAATTTACAAAACTTACAGAACTTGCAAGGCCCACCTCACATGATTCACCCCTTGCAAAACCACCCCATGAACTCTATACATCCTATGATGAATCCTAACGCCTCTCTACATCATAACCATTTATCACATGGGCCTCACTTTTCGTCGCTGCAAGCTCCCCATATTATCCCCCCTTCGTCCACTCTAAATATCCAGCAACATCATCAAAACGAATTATCCACATCGTCTCATTCACAGGGCGTTATAGTCAAACAAATACCACCAACCCCGCCGTACGCCTTTCACTCCTTGACCCTTACCCCACCACTTGATAATGAAGAACCAGGTGGCAATAATAATATATTGGCCACTGTACCTAGGCCTGTTTCTTTTCCTCAAGATTTTAATCTCCCTCCCACAAATTCATCTACCACTAATTGTCAAAATGGACCAAATAATAACAGTAATGGATTGCCGAAATCACCTTTCATAAAACAATTGCACACACTGAATCATGGCGAGGTGGTGTGTGCAGTAGCAATGAACCATACAAAGCCCGTTAGGTTTTTGTATACTGGGGGAAAGGTAAAAAAATTGACAAATTTATATGTAATTAATATATCATTTAAAGCCTTTTTATCTAAAAAAAAGCAACTAATCACTAAAAATTATTTATAATAGGAATTTTTAAGATAAAAGTGGTGGCTTTTAGAAAAATCAAATAATTTCCTACTTATTTTAATATTTTTTATAATTTCACTTATTTATAATTTTTTTTCAAAAAATATTAGGGATCTGTTAAAATTTGGGACATGAAAGACACAACCATGAAAACACCCATACACGAATTACAATGCTTGGTAAGATTTAAAATATTCTCATTAATTATATCTCTACCAGGTCTAATTTAAAATAAAATTTACCAGATCTATTCAAACGAATAATTTTTTTTTTTTGAATACGAATAAACGATTATTTAATAATTTATCTTAAAATATTAATAAAATCGAATCATTTAAAGTATAAATCTTAACGAAATTTTATTATTAAATTATTTTCGAAGTTATATGAAATAGTGGAGCATATTTCTTTATTTTCAGCTTCTTTACATTATTTTAAAACTTTTTGCTTTTTTGAATCTTATTGCAAATTTTATCCCAAAAGAAATATTTCATTTTTTTTTCTCTAAATATATTTTGTGGTATATTATTACATTGGCATAACTATGGATAATATGACTAGGATATATTAAATTGAAGTTTTTTTGCTATATTAAATTTAATAATTTTATGTTAAAATAAAATTAGAATAGAGAAAATTACATAAGATCTTGCAAACTGTTATCAGATGGACGAACTTTGATAGTGGGTGGAGAGGCCAGCACTATTACTATATGGGATATTGGATCGGTAAAATTTAAACATTAATCTTTCATTTTTTAATTATTTTGTGTTAGTGGTAAACATTTTTTTAAAAACGAATTCTTTTGTGTTCGTCGTTCAAAAAATCGAAGGCGCTCGCTCTAAATGCTTTGCTAAAAAAGGAACGCGTTGAAATTTGTTAACGCGCACGTTCATTCATATCTAAATATATTTTTTTATATGCACTTAATATTTGATATAAAAAAATTGATAATATAATAATACTAAGCTAGGCACGTTGATTGTAATATTTTAATTTTGTAATAGAATAAATATAAAATGTGAAAATATGAAACAATAAAATAAGACTTAAAAATATATGATTTGTCAATTTTTTTTCTATTTTTACTAAGAATTTTTTTATAAAAATTAATTCAATAAGCAGATAAATCTTGTAGCTATAACTGAATTTTGTAGGTTAAAAGCGCGTTCCACGATAGCTGAGGGTGACATCGCTGTGTTATATATCGTGATGGAAATTTTTTTGAAAATATAATTAATGTTTTATATCTTTGTTTCAAAAGATTTCGATAGATAATAATCGGCCTAATTTTTGTCCAAAAAAGAGATTTTCGAATACCCTTTTCTGAGGCTTTCACACATTTTTTAATTAACTTTTCAACATAGACTTATATTAGTCAATGCTTTTCAATCTATTAACGCTGACAATAAGTTATACATGTAATTTAAAGTTTGAATAATTTTATCTAGGGCTGTGCCGATATTAAATATCTGATTGGCACCGATATTTAGCGTTTTCCAAAAATATTGGATCGGACCGATACATGTAAAAAACCGATCCGATCTTTTTATTTCTTTTTGTTATTTTATGTATATTTATTTTACATTAATAATATTTTCTAAATAATTTTTTTTTAAACAATGCAAATGCACAAAACTCCTTAAATTTTATTTATTTTTTAAAATTGATTTATAGTATTTTAAAAGTTTTTTTTATAAAAATAGAAAGGGAACCCCCAAAGTTTTATTTATTTTAAATCTTTTTAAATAATAACGCAAATTTTATTATTTATACTTTAAATGAAAGAATTTTTCTAAATATGGTATCTGAATTATGGAAATATTTTACAAAAGACAAATTATTTTGTAAAATACGTTATCTGCGGAATTCTAATTTCACGGGGAGGAATAATGAAAAATTCATTTAATTACTACCAATATCCGTAAACTTTTTAATAGAAAAATTAAATAAAATGCATAATTCGATTTTTTGAATAAAAAATATTGATTTCTTAATTACTTTTGGTTCAAATGGGGGTGGGGAAAAATCAATATAAATATCAGATCGGACGGTGAAAAATATGTGGATCGGCACAGCCCTAATTTTATCGTTATTATAGGCGTCAACTAGCCCAATTTTATCTTTTTTTCACTTTCTTAAATGAGATGTGCATACTATTGGCTCATGCTCTATTCCAATATTTAGATAACATTAATTTTAATATTTGTTTTAAAGAATTAAAATCGAATTACCATTAATTAAGTCAGCAATGATATTTATTAAGTCCTAACTATCAGACATGTCTATCAATAAAATAATTTATAAACTTAAACCTAAAATAATTTATAATCTTAAAACTAATAAAATGTAAACCATATTTGAGTAAAATAGATACTAGTCAGAAAGGAAAACGTGCTTAAAAATATTTAAAGGAAACAAGGAGTTAGAAAATATAGCTTTTGTTTAAAAAATTTTTAGAAAAATTTTTAAATTAATTTTTTTTTGAATGAACTTAAAAAACGAAAGTCCTCGTCAAAATAATGAATCGTTCATGTTCAAAATTCGTTTTAAATAAAATGTCCAAAAAAACTATTTTATTCGCTATGCGTTATAGTTTAAATTGTGTAATGTTTGTTAATATAATTGTGTCCATCATTTCAAAATAACGTCAATTAAATATATTTAGAGTTGTGCACTGCATCTTGCAGATTGGCAGAATTTTTATTACCACATGATATATTAAAAAATTGACTGGTTAAATACCTCCATCAGCAAATTCCAGCACCGCTCTAACTATATGCAAGATTTAATAATAAATCACTATTATTTTATTAACAATATTTTTTTTTGAATTAATGGATTGGTCATACTAAACCAAATCAAATATATTAAATTATGCAAATTTGTAATTTTTTTAAGCCCACACCAAGAATAAAAGGAGAATTAAATAGCCTTGCCCCAGCATGCTACGCCTTAGCTATTAGCCCTGATAACAAACTATGTCTGAGCTGTTGTTCTGATGGGAATATAGCAGTTTGGGATCTTCATAACAATTCTCTAATTAGGTTTTTAATTATTTGTTTAATTTGGATAAAAGATTTCAGTGACTCTTGACACAAACCTACCAAATTAATTTTTTCCACCGAGGCCTCTTGAAGCCCAGTGGTTGTAAAAATTAGTTCTAGACCCAGCCACGCTCCGACCTTATAAATTAATTGGCGTAACCAAAAAGGGAGGAAATTTCACCCGACTTGGCATATTTGCCAGTTTTTTAAATATCATTTTAAGGTATAAAAATACCTCCATACACTGTCTCATCTCCCCTCTCCCAAAAATGAATACAATGCGAACATGGCATCGGGTTTTTTGAAAAAATTAACTGTAAAACCAATTTTTAAAAAATCAAATCGGGCCAAATCCCTCAAAAAGCAGGTTTAAAGTATTATAATAAAAAAGCCACACCCCCCCCCCCTCTACCCCACTAGAATCTCTTGGATGCACATAAACTTTATTTTTTTTAAGATTATTCGGCAATTACTCTGGTAGTTTAATGATGTTTATCTATTTTATTCTATTACAGAATGATAAAATGGGAAATAAATTTATTTTAGAATCATGATGCTCAAACTAGTAAAAGTATAATTGGGTGGAGATTAGTAAAAATAATTTTAAAATGACTAGAGCTCATTTTTTGTTTTTAATTTAAATGGATTGTTTTTTATTTTTTAAATATGCTTATTTAGGCTTTAATTTTTTAAAAATAATCTATTAAGTGAAACAAATTTAAATTAAATGTAAGGGAGGCATGTGCTACTTTTTATTTCTTCAAATAATTCTTTTTCATTATCACATGATTTATAATACTTAACATATTAATTCTAAATATTAAATTACTTTTTTCAATAGTTTTTTATCAATAATTTGTTTACAGGCAATTTCAAGGACATACCGACGGAGCAAGTTGCATAGACACATCATTGGACGGAAACAAATTATGGACTGGAGGACTCGACAATACAGTTAGATCATGGGATTTAAGAGAAATTACGCTAAAAGTAATAACAGTAAACTCAAAAAAAAATAATTAAACTTTTAAATGCGAGAAAATGTTAAAAGGGGAATGTTTTAATTGTTTATGCTTAAGTGAAAGAGGGAATAAAATCAGAATTCTAGATAGTAAACGCGGGAGAACATTTAAACAGAGATTTAATACATAAAAATAACGATGTTAAATAATTATCATTATTTTTATTATTATTAGGGGAAACAATTGCAGCAATACGATTTTAATAGTCAAATATTTTCTTTGGGATGCTGTCCGACAGGAGAATGGGTGGCAGTTGGGTAAAACTAATATTTTTTTATTGCATAAAACGTGTTACAATATTTTTTTACACTTACCAAAGCCTATTATTTACATAGATAAAACATGGTTTTTTTTTAGAATGGAAAATAGTGTGGTGGAAGTGATACACCATACAAAACCCGACAAATATCAATTGCATTTGCACGAAAGTTGTGTTTTGTCATTAAAATTTTCAAATAACGGTAAATGGTTTTTGAGCACGGGAAAGGACAATCTACTCAACGCCTGGAGAACACCTTACGGAGCTAACCTATTTCAAGTAACAAATATGGTATTCGTTATAAAAAAATTTTAATCTCAATTTTAGCAGGAAATTTGCAATCATAATTTTTTTTAATGTATAATATTTTAAAGATGCTCTATTAATTTTCGTTATAGCATTTTTTATAATGTAGATATAAATGATTGTTCTTTTTGCCTTTAGGCCAAAGAAACATCCTCAATATTAAGCTGCGATATATCTTTTGATGACAAATACTTACTAACAGGATCTGGCGACAAAAAAGCCACTCTTTATGAAATCCAATACTAATTAATATTTATAAATATCACGATATAAAAATTATTTTTTTATAAAACACATGTAAGCAAATAGGATCATGAATTTTATGTAGTTTTTTTAAAATGACATTTAAAAAAATATTAAAATAGTATGCTCATTATAAATATTTTTTTGTTAAAAGCCATTATTATAATACTAATTTAATAAAAACAAAATCTTAAAATTATTTTCTATCCCCCCCACCTCCCCCCTTTAGTCAAGCCCAGTGTTTCACGATTACTTTTATAATAACTTTTTTTTATTTATTGTGCAATTTTTTTAATTCCCAATATTTATCTCGCAATCATGATTACTTATCAAGAAAAAAAGAAGCTAATTGGAAACGGTTGAATGGAATCTACTTCTTTGAGAACAAACAAATATTATTTTTTTAGAAACAGTAAATTTGAGAAATAAAATTTGTATTATACAATTATTTTTTAAGATTTTACAAATAAAATTTTTTTTTAAAAAAAAAAGAATTTTATTATAATCATATATAATATATTGTTAATAAAAGATTAAAACACAACATGTACGATATTATTAATATTCCATAATTTTTATTATTTTCATTTTATTATAATATATTTATGTAATAAAAAAAATGAATTTTTTTAGATAAAATCTTCTATGCAAAAGTATCGCTGTGTCTCCTGGGTATTATTTCTAGTAAACACTCTTAAAATTTTTCAATATAATATTAGAGCATGATGCATTATCGATTAGTGTAATAAATTACTTTTGGACTTTATAATTTATATTTACAACCATATTAAATTTGGATTACATTGAACATAAATACATGTAGGTTATACCTAACCAGATCATATTTATGAAAAAGATTGATGTAATAAATTTATTGGTAGAAATTAAATAAATTTTTTTTTAGTTTTATAAAATATGTACCAGAGATGCATCGATACCACTTTTTTTGCTGATACACGGAACCGATTAATTATTTTTGTGTATAAAATAGTTAAATATGTTCGATATATTGCCATGATAGATGCAAATAATGATTGTTGATATTGAGAAAGTAATATGTATTGCATTTGAAAACTATTTTCGAAAGATATGTTAAAATAAAATAAAACATTTCCATATTTAGTGAAGAAATCTTTATTTTAAAATGACTGATTTCTCTCTATTGGATTTATTCGATATTTAGCAATATATGTATATTGTAATAAGTTTAATATTGCATTATTAAATAAATTTTTATAGCAATAGTCTTGCCCTATTTCGCCAAAAATGTAATAGGTAATACCCCAATAAATACTTATCACTATATCCTTTCGAAAATTTGTTTAGGACAAATGCCCCCAGCTCTTGTAAGTGTTATTATTTTTGCCTCCACAGTTAGAATTATTCTTACGAAATAAGCAATTATTGATTGATTTTTTAAATAAATTTTGAAATATTGATAACGCATAAATATTACTTTATAAAAATTATTTCTAATGAATATTTTTATCTTTTTTTTGTTCCTAATTTTTACCCTTTTGAAATTTTTTTAATCTTTAATTTTCATTAAATTTATTGCAGATTTTATTAGATTTTTTAAAAAGTAATAAGGAATTTGGTTATAAATTTTTTTTTAAAGAAATCAAAAATTTGAAATTTTATTTACCCATTCATTATGGTTTATTTTAGAAGGGCACGAGTCAAACGGAAAATTTAAAATATAATCAAATATTAATTTCTTAGAACGGAACAAAAAGTAATAGTATTTTAAAAATAATTAAATTTCAAGAAAATAGAATTTTTTCTTTACTTGTAAAATTTATTGAAAAGTTATTCAATAAACCTTTAGAGTTGAATAATTTTGTATAGATAAAAATTAAAACTCAGCCAACACAGATACTCAAGGTCCATAGAAATCGGCTTTCACTTATTAGATTTTTCTATTAAACAAACAAAAACTTAAAAAATTAATTATAACTGAAATAAACTGATGCCACATTTTCAAATCCTAGTAAAGATTTTGACAAATCATGTTAATATACAGCAGAAATACACTGATACTGTTGTAATCGGTCTATATTTTTTAGAAAAAATATATTGATAGCACAAATTGAGCGTTACAATACAACGCTCCATTTTAAAAGCTAATAATGCATTTTAGATGGTAGAGCGCAAATTTTTTTAAGGCAAGCGTTAATAAAAAAGCAATTGCTCTAAAATTTGAAAATGGATACAAAATTGTAAGTATAATTTATTTCATATATTAATTAATATTATATCATTTAGAATATATTAATTGATATTTATATAATCTTAGAATATATTAAATGATATTTTATATAATTTTAGAATATATTTTATATTTAGGATATAATTGATATTATTATAATCTTAGAATATGGGATGATAAGGTTATTAAAAAAATTTGTACATTACTACTCAAATTAGTATTATAATAGCTTTGGGATGGAATTTCCACTGCATGATAGAACTGTATCATGCATAAAGAAGTTGAAAAACTCTAAAGACCATAGATAAAATTGGGCAAGGCTTCGGGAGCTTTTGGCTCAACTCTCATACAGATGGTATGCAACTCTCATACAGATGGTATGATTACATTAAATTCATGGAGACAACAATAAAGGACAGAAACACTACTGATAGTTTTAATCCCAAAAAAATTATACCAAAGGCAAGTGGGTTAAAATTAAATGCATTGTTGGGTGAAAGAATGAAGGTTACCTTCTGAGAGCCAGTAAAATATATATTTATCCATAAATTTAACTTTATTAAAGTTTGTATCTCCACACAATAGCAAAGGATTAGGAAAGTATGAGCAATTCAAACAAATATTTCTTCAAAAATGAAGTGTCTCAATTGAATCATCACCTCCAAATTTAGCAGATATACCTGCATATCAAATCATTAGATTTATTTAATGAAATTAATTGATTTGTTTTTTTTCTGAAACCATTTATATATAATAAAGTTATATTATTCCATATTTCTAATGTCCATTTCTGAAAAATATAATCAAAATTATTTTAATAAATAACACAGTGTACATTTTTATTTTATTATTAAAGATTAAAAAATGTAATTAAAATTATTTTATTAAAAATTAGTATTAAAGTTTAAAAAACGATAATGAATTTTATTTGTAATTCTTTTGTATATATACATTTATATAATTATCCAATTTAACTTCTAATAATATGCAATTTGATTAACCTCGATAATATAATCATGTCGGTAAGTTAATATACAAATAACGTCCTTTTAAAATATATAACGTGACCTTTTAAAATATATCTTACAATAATAAATATTCAAATGTAACATATCTTCTTTCTTACCAAGTTAAGATCCCAATCTTTTTATTTACCAAGTTCAAGTTCACCTATTAATCTTTTTGCCTTGTTGGATAACCCGTTTGCCCTTTTTGACTTGGTTCAATTGTTATTATTGATTTGATTACGTATGGTCCTTATTCGAAGTTGGTCGGGATGTTTTAATACGGTTTTGATATATTTTTTTTCCTTTTCTTCTTCCCTTTTCCAGGATTGTGATGGCGATTCCAGTTTTTCGACATCTTTATCTAATTGTTCTATTTTTGCTTGTTATCCCTGTAGATCTATTTTTTGCGATTAATTCTTCAAACGTTGGTAGAATTATTCTCCACATAATCGTAGTTCACCTGAAGTTTTACGTACCACTACCATTGGAGTCCTCCAGGTTACTCTATATAGTTTGTCAATATTCACGTTACCATTATCATTATATTGTTGATCATGTTAATTTCTACATCAAATTCTATAATCCCTGAAAATCCAAATAGGATGTGTCAAATTCTATAATCCCCGGAAATCCTAATAGGCTGTATCAATCATTTTGATAGTGGTTTTTATATCATAAATTCTATAATCCATGGAAATCTAAATAGGTTGCATCAATCATTTTGATAGTGCCCTTTATCATTATCATAAATTCTTTAATCCATGGAAATCTAAATAGGCTGCATCAATCATTTTGATAGTGCCCTATTATTATAAATTCTATAATCCATGGAATCCAAATAGGCTGCATCAATCATTTTGATAGTGCCCTTTATATCATAAATTCTATAATCCATGGAATCCAAATAGGCTGCATCAATCATTTTGATAGTGCCCTTTATATCATAAATTCCAGGGATTCGAACCGAACCCGAACCCGGAGAAGTGAACCCGGGTTTTTAAAAAAAAACTCTGAACCCGAACCGAACCTGAACCCCATTTATAAAATTTTCAAAACCCCGAACCGAACCCAAGAATTTTATTTGAACCCGGGTTCAACCGGGTTCAGTGTATTATTTAAAATCATATATTAATATATGTAAATACAAATATTATATTTTCAAATTTCCAATTAAATGAAGTGTTAATAAATTTTAAACAACTTAATTCATTTATGCCATTTTTTAATTTATTCTCGATTCCTATTGGAGTGTTAAAAAATTAAACAATTGAATTAATTTACGCCATTTATTTTTAAATTTTTATCTTATTATTCTTAAAGATTATTAATTAGAAAAAAATGGTTAACAAATCAAAGTAAAAATTATTATATTGTTAATTTAAAAAATTCTAAACATCTAACTTAAAAATTGTTAAATGTAGGGCAGTTTTTGTGAACTTATTAAAATGATTTTAAAATTTATATATGCTAATCATTTATTTTTGGTTCAGATTAATTTTTACAAGATATTAATGAAGTGCATATTATAAATGAAATTAAATTTATAAATATCTCTTTTTTAATTCTGAAATCATTGCTATTTAAAAAAATTGTTCTCTTTTTATAGATTTAAGATTAAAGATAAAGTCATATTTGATAAACATTTTACCCTTAATACAATAGAAAAAAAATAATATGTTCATATTGCAAAGTAAAAATGTCTGGTAATCACTTGTCAAATTTAGAAAGACACCTGGAAAGAAATCACAACAATGAATATTTAAATTATTTAAATGAAAAAACCAAATATCAGGAATTTTTATTGGCAAAAAAACCTAAAATTAATATAGAAACCTTTTTTCCAAAAAAGCATATAAGTATAAATATATCATCTAATGATTTGATGAGTTCTATACTAGAACTTGTTACTGTAAATGGCCGGCCTTTATCAATTATTGAAGATTCGGGATTTCAAAGAATTATAAATCCACTCCTATCTGGGCTCAATTTGGTTATAAACAAAGAAAATTTATCCAGAACTATTAATAAAACAGCCCACAGCAGATGAGGAAAATATGAATGTAAATGTATATAAATATGATATTGATGATATACAAAATACTTTTTTATCAACTATTATATCCTATCCGATTTATAGTGTACGGTGTGCAGCTCACACACTTCAGCTGGCACTTCAAGATGCTATAAAATTATCACCAAAGCTAGGAGCCTAAATTTAAAATTAAGACATCCCACTTACCAAAAGTTATTAAAAAATATGAAACTCCCTAAGCCTGTGTTAGATTGCCACAGATGGCATTCAACCCATGATATGTTAGAAAGGCTGATTTTACTAAAACCCAATATCGAAGATTTTTTTTCAGAGCAATCTGATTATTTATTGACTGAAGATTGGAAAGAGATAATAACGATTGTTGAAATTTTAAAACCGCTAAAAATCACAACCAAACAATTCCAATCTGAACAGTTAACACTGACAGATTTTTATGCAGCATGGTTAAGATGCTGCATCGAACTGGAAAAAA